TTTAATTGATTCATGGCGGCTACAAATGGAATTAGTTAGTCTCAAACAGAGAACTAGGGGAAGGTTTAATCGCCAATATAGGAGGGTAGGATAATATCAAATTAATTCGATCGAATCAGTGATTCAATTTGATGGGTCCTTCAATCCGTCCACTTTGAAAGCTGTGGGAACCTGGAAGATAGTTTTTCCATGCAATATCATCTTAGAAATTGCTTTGGAGGACATCAATCACTCTCCTCATTTCAAACAGAGGCGATGACATGTTTATTAGCGCTCCAACAACTCTCTAATGTAGGAATTACCATGAGTAAAGTTCACACAGATTCTAAAGCTTTAACTCATGATCTCAGGAACAACCAAATCCTGGTTGAAGCTCAGGAAGTAGTTTCACTTTAAGTTCAACTAATAGACTCTTTCGAACACTGTTAATTGGTTAAAGTTGATAGGACACAGGTTACAGATTTACATAATCTAGCATATTATAAGATGTGTTGTAACAATTAAGATCTTCTTCCTAATCTAATACAAGTATTGTTTTTTTAAAAAAAAAAAGGAAGAAGAGAAAAGGTAAGAAAGAAGTTCTCACTCTGTCCCAAATGATTGTCTACATAAAATTTTTTACTTTGGTTTAAATAAAGTATAATAAATATTTATTTCGAGTTAACGAGTCTAGCCATAGAACTTGTCATAGAAATACAAAAACTCGAACTTCTTGTTAAAAGGCCGAGTTGAGCTCGAGCCAAAAAATTTAGGCTCGTTCAAGCTCAAGCCGAGCTTGAGCAGAATTAAATTACTCGAGCTGAGTTCGGGCATGGGTAAACTCAAGCTTGAGCCATAAGAGTGTTTAATTTATATATGTACTTAAATATAAGTCTCTTCGACAAAGATATTAAGTGCTGAATTGAGCATTAATTGGAATCTCATCCGTTGGTGAAGTTTGATCCTACGGTTCAATTTGATTTAATTTAAGTGGGGATATATTTGTAAATTCAAAAAACTGTTTCGCATTAAATTTTAAAAATTCGAACAAAATTAAAAAAGACCCCTGTTTTACTTCCAGTTTAAGCCTAAAAAACCCCAAGCCCTCAAAACGACGGGTTAGAAAAAAATTTAAAAACAAAATTTAAGAACCCCTCCCCCTCTTCCTCTTTGTTGGCCCTTTTTTCTTTCTCCCTTCAACTCACAAAAACCAAAAAAAAAAACACCTTTTTCATTCGGTATTCTGTTTTTTTTATCTGAATGATCTTTGTTTATAATTATTAATAATAATAATATCAATATTGAATTCTTTAATAATTTGTGGGTAAAGATTTTTTTCATGAATGTTAAATACAAATTTTATAAAGCTATTATTATTACCCTTCTAAATAAGTATATAGATAAATCGTGAATTTATGTTTTTTAAATTTTCCAATAATAAAATTCCAATTGGCGCAATCCACTCCAAACAAAGTGTTATGCAGATTCACACCAAATTACACCTTCCTGAGCACATTGGCCTTGTCCAATTCTCCGATTTCTTTGACTGCCGGCCACCACCAATTTCTGCTGCCTCCAACATTGTCTCCACCTTTGTCGCCGAACTCCCTCACCATCATCAAGCGTGTTTCCTCTGAAGAAGGTAAATTTTACTATCCCTTTTAATAAGTTATTTACCAAGATTACATTTTTCCTTTTTTTAATGTGGTGTAATGTATGATGTACCCTTTTCTATAATGTGGTTATATGATAATTGTTTAGGGATTTATGTGGAATTTGCATGTGTTTTTTGTAGTTTGGGATTCATGTGGAATTCCATTTAGGTTCGGTATTCTTCTTCGCAGCCTAAATCAAACTCTACAACTTGGGCAATTTGTTTACCCTCCCGTTTTTGTTGATTTTGGTGTTTAAAATCCGATTCCAACTCTTCAAAATTATATTCTTCACAGATTCCTTTTGATTGTGATCGAATCTGAGAACACAAAAACTTTCTTCTAGCCTTTGGATCGTGATAGAATTTGAGTAGTCTATTTTATTTGGATTGTACTACTATCATTAGAATAGGATTGTAGCAACTTTCGGTGCCTCCTCTCTTCAATCATGAGTATAAATACCTCTTTTCCTAAACCTTTAGATTCCACAAAACATCGCTCACAAGATTCAATTAAATCACAATCAAATCCTTGGTTCGTACGAATTTCCTTTCTCGCTCTCCGTTTCACACATTCTCGTTTAATATCGTTTTTTTTCCTATTTGGTTCGAAGATCGATGGTTGCTTTGATTACGAACGGTTAATTTTGCCAGGTTGTATTTTTGGGGGTTTCAGAAATAGAAAGTGAGCTTTCCAGTTTTGTTTATAATCATCAATTGTTTTAGTCTGATTAGTAAAGACTGAATTTATTTGATCTTTGATTGTAAACTAGTTTTCAGAAAGCGTGGAATTTGAGTGTTGAGTTGGAGTTTAATGTTTGGTGATATTTATTTTTTTTAAAAAAATTGAATCTGACTAACCTTCTTTACCACTCCTAATCATAATCAGAGTTGCATCATTACATCATTGAACGAAACTAATGCCTCACTGCTGGTTCATTTTTGTATTTATCATGAGTCTTATTTGAAGTAAGAGATGGCCAAATGATTGATCCTCCTATTAAGTACCCTGTTAATTGTTTTTTTTTTTTTTTGTTTTGGGTATTCTATGCCTTTCAAATCATTGTTCTTTCAGGTTTTTTTAACAGTGTTGTGTGATTTTTAATTTATTTTACAAGGTTCTATTTACGGCGTACATTCAGAAAAATAAGCCTTGTAGGAGTTACGCTATAGCATTCTGTTCACTACAACATCTACTACAAATTTCACTAGAAGAGAGCTTTCAGTTGCCTCGCGGAAGGTAATATTCTTAAGATCATATGCATGATGATGGCACTTAGCATTTTAGAGGTTGCCGTTTTTATCATTTTTAGTGGTTTCTGATCAATTTTTTTGTGTTGATTTTGTAGTGGCTAAAGTTTAGAAATTACATGACTTACAAAATCAGAGAGGAACATAGGACCTAGCTGTGAGTTTGGGGTTTTCCTCCTCTCCTCAAGTGGTTGTCTGTTCTTTTCCTAAACACTGATACCGGTGCCAATTGTTGTATGTAGTGCCTCAACAGCCAGCAAGCTGCTCCTACTACATTGATTCCTTAACCTTGTTTCTCATCTTGGTAACTCTTCTTAGTTTACTGTCATTCATATTTTCATTAATATAGAGGTTATTTATTACTATTAATTTGCATTGTTATTTCTATTTTAAAAGCTTGAATTGATTCACTTATAGACCAATACTTATTAGAATTTTGAAGACTTAATTGATTGATAATATCCATTAACACTGTGTTATTTGAAAAGCTGGTATCAATGTGTTAATTTGAAATAATGCTATTAGCACCTCAATAAATGCCAAGTGATCAAGAACTGCATTTACACAACTGGTTCTTCTAACTAGATGTTTTCATGATTAATTTTTCTTTTTTGGTGGAAGTGGTTGGTTGCTCATAACGTCTTTTTTATGGCATATCACTTCTTCCATCGGTCGAGAAGTATAAAGTACATGTACTTTACATAGATGTCCCTGTATCTGGAAAGTCACTGGAAGATTAGGTGCTTACAGATGGTTAAAGCATAAAGTTGCAAATGATAGGCTTATGCAATTGAGATTTTAACCGAAACTTTTGACATGTAATGTGCCCTCTCAGATCGATGCAGGTTGATTTGGTATGTCGGGAGAATCTAATGCTGGTTGTCAGAAGTATTTGGTGATCAGTTTGGTCGTTCAATTAGATTTGTGATTATTTATGGCAGGAAGAATGAAGTGAGTTATAGATTGTACCCCACATTTCAGCTACATATCCAAAAGCACATTAAACATGGGTAAGCAATATGTTACTACTATATCTTTATCTTCTTTTTTGGGTTTCAAGCTTCTTACATACTCCGTATTTATTTACTTAATAATTGTTATGGGAATGGGTGGAGGGAACCTAAGACTTGTAGGTGCAATATGTCTAATTCCATCTGAATCATCTGGGATACATAACCTTCATTTTACATGAGTAGAACCTATACTTGTACAGTCTTTTTCTTTTGTATAATTGGAGAATTGTGATAGTGACTACACCATCCTAGTTTTAAAATGGTTTACCTACAGATGCCTTTTGATGGATTGTAAATGATATTGTAGAGGAGCGCTGCCAAGACAACTATTGTCTTCCAGTGTTGCTCTAGGAGAAGTTGGATGCTTATGCCGCAAAACAATGGGAGGTATGCAACTGTTAGTTTCTAATCACTAATTGGCTTAAGACACTCAAGGCACTCATAAAACAAAAAAGAAAAGAAAATCGTTTAGCCCCTGTATTGCGTATTTTTCGTCGGCTTTTATTTGTTGTTTTTGGACCACCATTGAACTTGAACTTTGTCCCTGTGCTGCCAAAAACACAACCATTGAAGAACATGTGTTAGAGGATTGTTGCCAAACTAATATATAGTACATCCTTGAAAGGAGGAAGGTTGAGATTTAATTAAGAGTACTCTCATCCATTAGTGTGTCGCAGTTGTCTTACCGTCAACATTGCATCGAATTCAAAGATATCATTGAACAGCTATGATTGGATCTTTAGTATTTTTTATTTCTTTTGTGTTCCCCTGGTTATATCGTGGATCCTGAAAAGCATATGATTTCCTATACTGCAATGTGGATGATGTGCCAAGCATTAGAATGTTGGAGATTTATACCTCCTATATACTCCTTCAGGCATGGTTCTGAACTTGCTGAATACCTCAATCATGGAACATGTGATACCGCGATGGTTTGAGCATTGGACATCAAATAAGGTGAACCATGGAGCTTCAGGGTCAAGAAAAGATTTTTCTTTCAAAGTCCAAGGAAGGCTCGGCGGATATCAACAAGGACTATACCAAATTAACATTTACACCTACACAGGCTGATCGGTCTTTGGCATTTCGGAATTGTTTGAGACGGCATGGAAACAGCCAGCCTGAGTGGTTTGGCACGATTGATCAGTAACCGCTGCCCTCCACCGTCTTCTGAAAATGCGAGGTATTCGTTCTATTTAACTATGGCATGATATCTAAGTTATAGTTCTTCATGGCTCATTTTTAGGTAAAACCTGTTTACGCTGCATGTTACAATTGTTTTCTGAAGTCTCGATATCTGTACCAGATGTTGGATAGATTTGAGCAGCACGCACTAAAGTGTTCATCTTGTAAAGCAGCTCACAAGAACTTTGAGACATTGCAGAAGTTTTTTATTGGCCTTACTGTTTTCTGCTCTTCCACAGCTAGATCCCTTCAGATGTGAAACTGAGAGTTGTTCTTGCCGGATGTGCAATTTTAAGTGCAGAGCTGGCGTATTTAGTCCACAAACTTCAGAAAAATTTTGTCTTTGTTGATTATGTACATGCTGAGATTGAGTAAGTGAGGCATATAGCTTTGTTAACAAATTAAGACCAATCAAGAAATTACGGATGAAGTTGCTTGTATTCCATGGGAGACGATAAAATCTGTATTTATTTGGCGTTGAAGTTTAGAGTAGTGATAGTGTTTGTACTGAGATTGTAGACAATTTTTACACAGAATGACAGGTTTCCCTTAGAAGAAGTGTCTTCTCTTTTAATCAAATTTAGAAATTATCTCCCCTTCTTCTCCCCTCCATTCACGCCTTATGCAAGCTCTTAGATTTCAATCGGGCCACTCATTTCCATCGACGTCACTTTAACTGTGGAAGCACATTTTTTTCTAAGCGAGATTATATATGATTTAAGATAAATTCAATTATAAATTTGACATTTTGCCAACATACTATGCTTAAATTTGGTTGAAGCATGATTATAAATTTATAATGTCATGAAACAACAAAAGAACTTGATAGTAACGCATCAAGTGCTAACTTTTTGTTACATGGAGTATATGGAGGGCACCATTTTGGAGTTCATATAGAGAACTTTGTGGTGAGAACATTGTGGTGAAATGTTTTAGTTACTACAACAAACATACGGGCTCAATGGAAATAGAACTCAGAATCTAATGTGTTTTTTTTAAAATGTATTTTTAAGTGATTAATGACACATAAATATAATGACAGTAACTATTTCAGCAATTAAAAAAATCGGTTCGAAAAAGCAATGGTCGCGCAAGAGTGATAGAATTAGTAGTTAGAAAAATGACATTGAAAGGATTTATATAAGAATTACAAACTTTGTATTTAGAAGCGTGACGTACAAACGCAGTTAAAATAACCATTTCTGTCCATTTTGTAGATTCCGGAAAGCCCAAGGGGATAACCAATTACTAGTGTGTTTTTATGTAGTTTCGATTACTAAAGGGGGTTTCTTTGATAAGAGAATTTAGTAAGCGCTTTCACGCTCGCGCCGGATATTCACTTTTCTACTATACCAGTTACCAAGCAGCGATAAAGCGACACCGGCATCGTCAAAGCCCGTCACCGATCGCCGATCGTAAATCCGGCAGACATCCCGACGTCAGCGTCTTCTCCTCACTTAGCTCTCTTGTGGGTTTCGTGTCAATCCAAGATCGCGAGGTTTCTGGTAAGGACAGAACTTGTGATCTGAGTTTATAATTTGGAAAGCTCTTTTTTATCTTGTGCTCTGTGATTCTGTTGTTTTCGTGTAACTGCCGAGCTGATTTTTTGATTTGATTCAAAAGATGATTTGTTTTTTTTCTCCGGGGGAGCTTGGAGGCTTGGACAGATATTTTCATCTGGGCTGTCAATTTTTTTCTTTAGAGGATGAAAATTATGGTTTTTTTTTCCTTTCTTATCTCGAGAAAATAGGAATTCGTGTAATTCTGATTTGATTATATATCTACTGATTGAATTTTGCTCCTTGTGGGATATTTGTTGAAGCAAAAAAGCTTACATGATTTTTGTTTGAATTTCTGAAAACATAACGGAGTGTATTTTAAAAGAACGATGATTTGCTTTCAATAAAAATATTACTGGAGAATGATTTCCGAAGACTTTCCAGTTGCAAGTTTGTAATTGTATCCATGGTAAAACGACCGTCTTCAGGGACTTTTCAAAGAAGATGGTGAGTAAAACAGAGGAAGAGCAAGTGAACAGATTGGAGATTCAAGTAGAGAATGGAGGTGGAGGTGCTTGGGAATACCTATGCCTTGTGAGAAAGCTCAAGCTTAGACGCTCTGATAGAGTCTTGAAATTTGGATTGTCCATCCTCAATGACCCCAAGAAAAGATCCAATCTCGGCCCTGAAGGTATCTATTTCCTTTTTTTTTTTAATTTAAATTGTGGCTTCTCGTGTCAAAAATTGGGTTATGTCGTGATTATTATATGCTGAATAATAACATGTAATAAAAATTAAATCTCTTCATCAATTCATGTTATGGAGATTATTTTATTGAGCCTAAATTGCAATGAAAGTAAGATCTTCGCAGATTTTTATGTTGTGTAGATTATTAAATTGAGCATTAATTGCAATGAAATTCAAACATTTGGGTAATTTATACGAAGTATTCCTTAGACATGAATAGAGGTAAGATTCATTAGTTCTTTTTCATTTGGTTATTATGATCTGTTAGTTTGAGTTTGATCTGAAGAGCATTTGGGTGGCTGCAGAAACGGGGAATGATGAAATATATGTTTATTAAATTCTCAATTGCACGTTATATACGTGCCTCATGTGGAGTTGCTACAGGAATTTCCCCTTATTAAATAGCTGTAAGCTAAGGCGTTAGGCAGAAGCTACCCTCAGCAGGACTAGGAAATAAGTATTGTAGATAAGTGTTTACTGCTGAATAGCACTGTTGGGTCTCTTTTGAGTGTTGATAGGGATGGGGAATTATAATTTTTTCACTGTAGACGGGTTCTGATAATGAAGAACAAAGTTAAAAGCATTACTACTAAACGGAAGGAATTGGACATGGTCCTGATACTTGCAGAATTAAGGATTCGTTGAAGTTTTCTATCTTCTCTTGCCAAACCTGTTTGATGTGGATGCTCTCTCTGAGAAACAGCACATGAAGAAACTAAATTTTGGTTATATTTCATTGAGCATAAGGTCACCTAATTTTCACTTTGGATAGTTAATTGATGAGCTGGATTGGAGAGTTATATATCAGTGTGTAAGACAGTAAAAATGCAAAAAGGAAAAAAAGAATCGATTTGTGGATATGTTAAATTATTATTATTTTTTTTTTCAATGGCGATGATGATATTGTGCTTCATATTCAGGAAACCAATGGCTTAGTTTTCCCTTTTTATTTGTTGTTGGTAAAACAGTGCCCTGCCTTCGTGCATCTGCTTGGCCCACAAATTTATGGATGTCTTGACAAACCCTAGGCAATTGTGCCCATACATATCATAATTTGGATTTGGTTCATAAAAGGGAATTTCCTGCAATATTGACTCGCTTGCATATCAGATGCATAAAGAAAAGCTTTTGACTTCTAGGATGACTGTGTCCATTTTGAGCTCAAATTTTTAAACTTGTTGTGCCATCGGCTTGTTGATTGAAACTTTTACTCTGGGATGCCCTTACCAGGCCATTGGACTAGTAGAGGAGTATAATTTCGAAGATATATCTGGAAGATATAAGGTGAGCATAGAGATCAAAATCTTGAGAAGGGGAGACATCGTAGGGTCATTTATACTGTAACTTGTAAGTTTAGACTAGGAATTTTTATGATACATGTACACTTATGACATGACGATTGTATTAGTTAAACCATTCTTTCTACGCCTTTCTGAGTATTTTCTTGAGGATTGTCGAAAATCTGCATCGATGTAAAAGCTTATGATCTGATGAAATATCTGGTCTTGTGTGAATACTTGTGTCTGTGATGAATGAAATATGTGTGTCCTGGCATTAATTTCTGTTTTGTCGCCTGCATGCTTGCATTGCAAACTTCTCTTTGTTTACAATATAGATCTTCTCCAATATTAACACACCCTTTTATCGGCTAATACTTCAAAATGACCTTATACATCCCTTTCTGCCGATGTAGAGTGGACGCTTTATGAAGAAGTAGCTGTTGCTGCTATGGACTGCCAATGTCTTGATGTGGCAAAGGTATGGTTGCATTCTTTTTTGTTATCACCTAAGAAAGAATTTTCGTTGTTTCAACGTTAATTATTTTTTATGTTATCATCACTCTTCTCGTGTTGTGCATATCTTTGTTTGCAAGATCCTAGCTTGGTTGCCCCTTTTACTTGATAGCCGTGTGAATAAAATAAATGTATTGAGAAAATACCTTTTTGTGTTTCTTATTGTCACTGTAAATGTTTTTCAATCAATTAAATTGCTCTTCGAGTGTTAGAGAATTAGATACTCCTTCAGTAACCGAAAATTTAGATCTTCAACTGCCCATTTCTGTTGGCAGGGGAGGAAAGCTAGCATGCTAGTATCCCCTCCAGTATTTTGAAAATGAATGTGTTTTTGATTCTTAGGAAAGAATTTTCAGATTATAGTCACTTTGATCATGGATTTTATGGGCATGCTACTAAAACAAGAGACAGACAGAGTCATTTATAAAAGACTTAAAATCCCTATAATTATTAAATATATTTCTGATATGCCTATAAGGTAAAATTAGGTGAAAGATTTTCCTTGGCTAAGCCAGTGATAGATAATACACACTCATCCTTTGGCTGGTTGGAAGGTCTTATTTATGGCCTGCTTGCAATTGCTTCTTTGGTATAGTTGATTGCCTCCAGTTTGATTGTTCGGAAGTAAGCATATGAATCAATCCAACTTCCTCTTTCTCCTTGATGTAGAGTCTGTATAGTTCTAGAGGCTTAGCCTTGTGATGAATTAGTCTATTTGTGCTACAGCAATTGCAGCTTCTTGTTGCAGAAAAAGATAATTCATATTGAAGGTACTGACATTCCAAAAAAATCTATTTGATGCTTGAAGCTCTACACATATACCTTGAGCTACTGCTCGTGATCTTCACATTTTGCTTTGTACTGTGTGCCAATTAACTACATTTCCACCTGCCAATGTATTGTATCGTGCTACCGATCTTCTGGAGTTTACCCAGCCTAATTAGAAAGAAGAAAGACATACTACTTGGAGATGGCCTCCTTTGTTTTGATAACGGAATTCTGTTTCCCTTGAAGTCTCTTTTAGGTAGTCTGTTAACTTATCGGAGTGTCTTTGATTAGATGAGTTGATGGGGAACAGGGACTGAATTGAAAATTGACGGAATAGGCAAACCCTAGCTGCAGGGATTTAAGAAAGACTGAGTCTGAGTCTTTGAAAGCTTCAAGGCTTAAAATTATATTAATCAGATAAAAGAACGTGAAACAAAGGCTGCAGAACTTCTTTATTTATAGAGAGATTCTGAGAGTAATCCTAACCCGAATAGACTTACTAATTTCCTAAATCTTAGGACTAAAATTGACACCAAATAAAATACTTAACTAAAAGGAAATTACTTAAACTAATAATTTATTAATAAGGCTATCTCTGAAATCTTCCTGCACCATGAGTGCATGCAATGACTTACCCTGCACACTGCAGTTGTGATACCTGGATATCTATGTATGAATAAGTCTCCCAATTAGGCATTGATATCTTTCCTGGTTAATTATCTCTTCCGGATTTGTAGGTTCTCGGCTTGGCCTATGTAGGAGTTTTAGCATCCAAACCGGTACTTGTTAGTGTAAACGAAGCTCATTTGACTCATGTGGCAAAGCTTCCTCGCTGTTTGATATTCTTTTACTCGGGTCTAGAAAGTTAGAATTTTCCTTATTTTGGTATGTAAAAGTATCTTATTTCGTTTTCTATTTGTTTGGGTGGGGAAAGGTGCCAAAGATGGCATAGTTGGTTTCGGTTAAAGATCTTCATTCAAATTTTCATCGTGTAGGATAATTTTAGTAGAAAATGGGATGTTTCCAAAGGAGCTAAAATCCATATAATAGCATGGGTTCCTCGACTAGGTTGAAACTCAAGCCTTTCTTTTAAGGGGGGTCTTTAGGTAGGTGTATCTGGAACAAATGCTTTTCTAAGAGTTCAGAAATGGAGTTTTAACTATTCAAAAATCTTACTAGGCGCGGTATCACTATTATTATTATTTAGTGGAAGCATAAGATCACGTGTATTTGATTGAATCTATCCTCAGTCTCCTTTGCACATCTGTGGAATGACTGTATCTATTCATTGTATGCGTTGGAATAGGAGTATTAGTTTGTTCATCTTTGACCACTATCTCTATCTTTTATCATTGTTAATTTGTTATTTATGAAAACATTCCTTATTACATTGTTTATCTCAATCCGTAAAACAAATGGAATTACCTGATCTTTTGGGGAAAAGGTATTGGTCTACTGTATTGTTACTCTGCCATAATTTTTGGTTTTGTACTTGATATTATTTTGAGAAATAAAGTCTGAATGCAGAACTAATATGCTACATATCCTCCAATGTTATGTGGTTTCTTAGCCTTATGTTATATCTTATTGCTTAGTTGAATTCATGTGCCTTTTCAATTGGATCTTATGCAGGACTGTACCAAGATTCTACAAAATAAGTTTCCTGGAAGCAACAGGGTTGGTGAGTTATACTGATTACATATGCCTTATGCTTTGTATAACTGTGCTCAGCAATCACTACACTGGTTGCATTTGTTATTGAGACCAAGAGAGATTGTAATGGACACGTCTTATATTCCATAATAACATTTGTTACACTAAAAGAAGAAGCAAAATGAATAATAATCTATGATCCTTCACTTGTTCTACCTATCAGATTATCAATCTGTTGAAATTTGTTTTGTTCAAATGAATAATAATCTGTGATACTTCACTTGTTCTAACTATAAGGTTATCAATCTGCTGAAATTTGTTTTCTTCAATATGCAGACAATTTCCATTTTTGGGGGGTCAATGTGCCCCAGAAACTCTTTACCATATTGAAAATTTTATGTCTGCTTTTTCCCCAGAAACTCTTTACCATATTGATATTGAAAACTCTTTACCCTTTGGTGTGCCACTTGCCAAGTGAAGTTCTAGCAATCTGTCCACACCTACCAAGCTATTTGTTATTATGTACATTACTTAGTTTAAATTTTCTCTTTTTTATGGTACAATAAAGGAGGGAAACATCTAACATAATGAAATTAAATTATTTTTACTATTCTTAACTTGGCCTGTGTGTAGCAAGGTTTTTTTTGAGGTTTTTTTCTTAAAAAATAATTTATCGAACCCTTAATTGTGTAAAACAAGTTTTCTAGATTCTGTACTGTCTGATTACATTTCGATATAAGGGTCATAGCATTCCCCTGATACATGTAACTTGTCGACTGGTTTAACATCCCACCACAGCTTCCAGGTTTACAATTATTTGGTGGGTTTTTCTGTACAGAGAATTTGTATATCACTAAAACTTGTCTAACCTTTTGAAAGATAGAAGCGCAGATCCACTACTTTCTTTAGTTCTCTTGAAATGTAATTTGTTTGGTAGCCTACTTTACTTGCTGCCAAAATGAAAGCTGATTTTTGTTTTTCTTAGTGGACCAGCAATCTATGATTCATCATATTTATTTTCATTCCCCTCGATAATTTGGGCTGTGTATAACTATTCATATGTAGGGAAAGGACACTAAAACTGTATCCTGCTGTGGGAATGCATGAGTTTTTAATGAACCAGTGAACTGTTTGGTTTAATTCTAGTATGTAGCATTCTGTTAAATTTTTATATGTAATTTACAGGTAGGCTAGAAGCGATGTTGCTAGAAGCAAAAGGATCATGGGAAGAGGCAGAAAAAGCTTACTTGAGCCTTTTGGAGGAAAACCCGCTTGATCAGGTACGAGGTATACTATGTTCCGTTAGCGAGCTAATCTTCCCTTGTGTTATCCTTGGCGTATGGTGGTTTGCCTTATAGATATCATTTGTTATTTGGGCTTGGGAAATGACTCAGAAAATTAATTTTGTGAGAATTGTTAAGTGAATTTATATTTGTGATATGATAGGAATAGTTGGGGTGATATGTGTATGTTTATTTCCCTGAATCTACTTATGCAGGTAATACACAAGAGGAAAACAGCTATGGCTAAAGCACAAGGGAATATTCCTCAAGCAGTTGAATGTCTCAATAAATATCTTGAAATGTAAGATGTTTCCCAAGGCGTTTCGATGATTTTCATACATGAACTTAATGTGTTGTTTATTAGTTTTTTTTCTCTAGATTCATGGCAGATCATGATGCCTGGAGGGAACTTGCTGAAATATACATGTCTCTGCAAATGTGAGAATCATTATCCCTGTTGGTCCATTTTATTTAATTTTGATTTTGGTTCATGTGCCTGAGGACAATGATATATTTTATAGGTATAAGCAAGCAGCTTTCTGCTATGAAGAGCTCATTTTAGCGCAACCAACAGTCCCATTATATCACTTGGCCTATGCTGATGTAAGTGACTCTTCTGTGAGATAATCCTTTCGTGCAAGATAATGCATGGATGACACAGTAACGATCCATTTTGCAAAATTCTCCCTGCAAAGGGTTGCCTATCTTGTTAATGACGAATCAGCATAATTTAAGAGCTGGAGTAGTTTACATAACAGTAGTCAATTATGTATGTTTAAGAGTAACAACTAGAGTTGATCAACTTTCTTTGTTTGTCTTTTGAAACCAGGTGCTCTACACTCTTGGTGGCCTAGAAAATCTTCAGATAGCTAAAAAATATTACAGTTCTGCGGTAGAGTTGACTGGTGGAAAGAATACACGAGCTCTATTCGGTATATGTCTGGTGAGACCGTCAATCTCCCTGGAAGCTCACTGTACTTCATTCTTTCTCTCATGTGTGCTTTGGCTTCTTGGCTGCTGGATAGAAATGACTAGGATTCAGAGTATTTTGTTTTTATTTCATACTGGTACTACGTGACGCATTCCTTCTTAACCAATCGTTACCCAGTTTCAGTCTTTCATATTGTGTTGTGCTTTGTTTTTCTTGTATTCTGCATTTTGAGGTCGGACTTGCTTTTGGTTTTACAGTGTTCTTTTGCTATTGGACAACTTACGAAAGGCCGGAACAAGGAAGACAAGGAAAACTCAGAGCTGCAATCTCTTTCTGCATTGGCACTAGAGAAAGAGTATAAACAGAGGAATCCAAGCAAAAATGCCCTGCTTACTGCTACCTTGAAAAGCTTGAAGTTGTCTTCATAATTCGGCGCATAACGGTGGGTTGTTTGTGCTGATAACCTTACTTATGAGTTGATTAGGGCATTTTTAAGTATGTCTAGCACATTGTTTTGTTCTTGTTCTAGTCTTGATGTAAACTTGAGAGCGTACCCATTGTTCTACCTGTAATTAGGCTCAGTATTTATAGGAATTTGCTGTCATTATTTATGCATAACTCAGTTGTTGATCGTAAATCGTATTGCTGCTTTGAATATCACACGTGTGCTTTAGCTGTCAATCATTTTTAAGGTCGTTAACCTATTCAAAAATTATAAGTCCTGCAGTCTGCACTTCAATTTGAGCTCTTATGGAAACTACAAATATTTGAATTTTGAGTTAAGTTAGAGTTTTACTACCAGCTATTCCTTCTGTCTTAGAAAAATATTTCATTTTTGTTGTAATTTTTTCTTTTTTCGTCCTAATTTCAAGTCCATAATTATTTTTCTTTATATTGCATAATCATCTGCATAAAATAGTTGGAAAATGTCGCAACTTGCAGGGCTGACAAAGCTGTATAAAAAATTTATTCTTGAACTTACATATACTTCTTCCTTTTTTTTTTTTTTGTTTTGGAAAAGAAAAAAAAAACACTGTATTTTTCACTAATGTCTATTTAGATTTTTTTTTAAAAAAGAAAATGAACCTGATATGGGCATTATTTTTCGCAATTTAAAAATTACTAACATGCAGTTCGTTTTTAACGATTTTGCCCCTTAACCCTTTCTATTCTCCCTTTCTTCTTCTCCTTATTTTTTCTTCTTCTTTCTATATTTCTTCTTCTCCAATTTCATCTTCTTCTTCCTTTTTATTAAATTTTAAATCTAGATTTACTAATAATCGAAGTTTAAAAAAATGGCAGAATAAGACACACAACAACCGGAAGAAACACCATCGATGCCGGTAAATTTTTTTGCCCCAAATTGTATTTAAAAAAAAAATTAAAAAAAAAAAAACAGACTACCAGGCTAGCCGACCGAGCGGTCGGTCGGGAACCTTGGCCGGAGAGAAATCCAGCGTCTAACTTCTACGAAAAAGATTTCCAACACTTTAACACTTTTTTTTTTAACCAAAAGAATAAACTAAGATTTTCAACAATTTAACACTTTTTTTTTTACCAAAAGAAAAAAATGTTGAACTCACGTCTTCTTTTGTTCTTTTTTTTTCTTATAAAATATTCTTGTGAATAATAACACTTAGATACAATCATAATAATACATATTTGTGATAGAATTATGTTGTGAAAACTAATAATCGTAAAATAGAAAATAAAAATAATTAAATAAGAGGTTTAAAGTGTACTTTTTGGACAAAATGATGATTTTATAATAGCTATTAATTCGGACATGGAACGTGATTAAAATTTTATGGGGAGAAATTTTTTTATTAAAAGAGACCTTTTTTTAAAAAAAAAAAAAATTTGTATGGTTCCGGTGAGAATTGAACCCTTGACCTCTCGGTAATAACCATCTCCTATCTTAATCCCCTAACTATCCAACCCAATCCTCCCACCCCCTATTGAAAGAAATCTCTGTTACTTATAAAAAAAAAGAAAAAAAAACGAAGATCGACTATGTAATATATAGGAAAAAAAGAAGAAAAAAATAATTAGAGAAAGATAATAAGGAAGTAAGAGAAGTTAGCTCTTATATGATAAGTTGACCACCTTTATACATAGTATATACACCTCTTTCTTTCCATTGAGAAGGGAAAAAAAAAAAAATGCTTTACAACATTAGATAGACAAAAACATAAAATCTTGTATGATTCCCTTAATATACCAGCTTGCCTTTTGAAGGTCCTTTTAGTATCCAATCTTCTAGAAAACAATGTCTTTCTCTCCATCATTAAAAAGTTACATTTTGGTGATCATTAGAAGTTCTTTCTCCAAATATTTGTTACTATTTTCTTAGCTGATAACACAAAAATATATACCCTTTTTGCAAGTATTTTTTACTCATTTCTATTTATAATTTAGTGTCAATTAGTTAGGATAAGTTTACTTTTGTGGTGATTTTACAGTTTAGGCATCTCATGTGGTCAACGTGAAAAATTAGCATAAATGAGGACTAAATTGCACAAAAAGGCATAAAAAGGATTAGAATAGAAGCTGCTAGAAATTGAGCTGCTGAAGGAGTGATCGGAATTGAAGCAAGTGGAGAAATCCCTCCTGAGGAAGGAAAATTGATAGTAGATGGATGCAAGTGGAAGACTCTGCAGCAGCTATCTCAATTGAGGAAGAAGAATTGGCAGCTACTCTGCTGCCAAGTTGCTACTGCAGATTCTGTTGTTGCTGTCAATCAGGAAGAGCCAAGGCCGAATTCTTGCTACTGAAGGAAGGAATTGCTTCGCTATCACTGCAAGTTATAGCTGATGCAAGTTGGCTACTGCAGTCAGGTGAGAAATGGTGTTGTAAGTGATCACATGAAACACGAAAAGAAAAGGCAGACAAATTTGGGCTGAATTGGGGGCTGAAACACAATGATGGAAGGAATCATGATGCTGATGTTGTTGCTTGCTACTGCTGCTAGTTGGGCTGTTGAGAATTAAAGAATGAAGAAATAGAGATTTGTTGCTGAGAATTGGAGAAACTGCGCCGGAGAAGAAGACTAAGAGAAGAAGGCAATGATGAGAGGAAGGTGGCTAATTGTGCCTGAAGAGAAAGAGCAGCCAAAGAGAAGACTGCAACTTGCCAACCAGGCAAGTTCCAAAATAAACAAATCTCCTCTGCTGCAAGTTTCTGCCTTACCTTTCTACTGCAAAGAAGAAGGCCAGAACTCCACCAATCCAAGCCTCTCCAAACCTCTATAAATAGCCAGTCAATAGTAGTTAGAAAAATAACAGATTGGGTAGTTAGATTTAGTCCAAAAGACAGTAGTTAGGTAGTTAGTTAGTTGGTTAGAAACAGGGTAGTACCAGGAACAAAGAAGACTGTCACTCTGTCAATTGGCGGACACCACTCGCCATAGTGAGCAGGCAGAAACTATCCCCGCTACCATCCTTCCTTTCTTTCCTCTAACCTTTTGATTTAGATTCATGTCTTATCTTTTGTACTTTGTTGCTCTCATGTTTAACTCAATAAACATGAGTGGCTAACTCAATGAAGGATTCAATCCCTACTATCTTTATGTGAAGGTTTTGATTCAGTTTCCTTGATGAGGTGTTGTGCCTAGATAAGCGATTTAATTAAACTTTTAATTAACTTAGCCACTTAATTAAATGTGCTTACATGGTTATGAAGATCTAGAAGGGGGCGCATAACCTTAGAACTGCTTAATCTAGTCTATGACAACGGAGAAAATCTACCCTGCGGTTCCAGACATTAACGGAAGTTAGGTGAATCACATAGGCGATCATATAGGGCTTAAGAACTCAATGCTTTAGATTAAATAACACTCTGACTGGGTTGATAATCTAGGACTCTTTATTCTATCTGGAAGGAATTATAAAAATACATAAGTGCCTGATCGAACAACTAATCATATACTATGAGAATACTTGAATCAAAACTGGATCATAAAGATAGGAAGATGATTGACCCTTCTGCCTCTTCACTCTGTCAAGTGACTGTTCTCACTCTCCCAAGTGACAATCTGTTCAACTGTTTTCTTTCTTTTTCTGCACTTTAATCAGATTTTGAGCGGTTGACTGCCGTCACTGTGGAATGACCCTGCTTACCACTAGCTAATAGTTTTAAGTAGGTTTATAAATTATTGTTTTGGGAAGTGGATCAATGACACAACACAAATCCATCCTCCAAAAGTCGCGCTGATTGTCGGGGATGGCGTTAAAAATCCTTGAAGTCTGATTATTGTGTTCATTTTTTGTTTTTCTTTTTAGTTATCTGATTTCATTCAAATTCACTCACTCAAAATCTTTTATTGTTACTTTCGTGATTTGATTACTAGTTTATGACTAGAAGCAATCCTTCTAGAGAGTTAAGTTTTGACCCAGAAATCAAATACACGGCGAGAAGATCAAAATCCTTGCGAAACAGAAAAGCCGCTGCTCAAGTTCCTAAAAAAGATCAGAAGAAGATGGCAGAGGTAGCACCAGCTGATCAACCTCAAGAAAGAGAGCTACAACCAGTTCAACCTAGACTGCTAAGAGATTATTTTGTACCCCAAGAGGAGAAAGTTCAAACTCCATTGGTGTACAATGATGTTGCAGCAGAGAACTTTGAGCTCAAAACTCAAATGATTCAAAGGGTGTAAGTTGCTTGTCCTTTCAATGGACTACCTAGTGAAGATCCGAATGAGCATATCGAAAAATTCCTGAGACTGTGCAGCACATTCAAGATTCAAGGTTTGTTTAAAGATGACGTATACTTGAGACTTTTTCCATTCACATTGCAGGATTTAGCAGTAAAATAGTTGGGCACTCTGCCCAACAATTTAATCAACTCTTGGAATGGACTCAGACATGCATTCCTTACCAAATTCTTCCCACTTGTCAAGGCTGTTGCTTTAAGATCAGCCATCATGACTTTTCAGCAGCATGAGACAGAGACTCTTTATGAGGCTTGGAAAAAATTTAAGGATCTGATGAGGAAATGCCCTCAACACGGTGTAGAGAAGCCAATGCAGCTGTGTCTTTTCTACAATGAATTGCAGCAAGCTTCCAGAGAATCACTTGATTCATCATCTGGAGGAGCATTCATGATGAAACCTGTAGATGAAGCAATCCAGCTGCTAGAGAATATGTGTGCTAACCATTTTACATGGCAGTAGGACCCTAGAGCTACAACTAAGAAAACAGGATTATTGGAGCTAGATGCTACAACTCACTTGCAAGCACAGATGGCGGCCATCACTAGTGAGATATCAAATCTGCGAGCTGACATCAAACCAAAAGTTGATGTGTGGATAGTTAACTTAAAATTCCTTGCAGACTATGATATAATTAGAACGACAACATTTCAGTTTGATTACCTTACACAAAACAATGAACACTAATCTGTCATCTCAGTTGGACGAGTGATAGACTCA